TGTGTTTGCAGGCTTTAAAAAAACCTCAATCCTTGCTCTGGTTGGAGATGGAGTGGGGGAGAAAGTGATTCTGTCTGGGGAAAGTTCATTATTGGGCAACATACCAAGTATACAAGATGCTTAACTTGAAATAAAATTCATACTTGTTAAAATTTGGCGTGCCCAGTGAAATACCAAATCAATTTTGAAAGCTAAAATAATATTTTGGGTGCTCTGGAAAGGTCAAAACATTTTAGGATAAGGAATACATCTAATTGGTCACATTATCCTTGGATGAACTGAATCAACACAAAGCTAAAGCCTATCAACAAATAGTTAATAATAACTGCTTTTTAAAGCAATGTTCTGTGTTCTACTTTGTGCAGTGAGACAGTTTGATATTTATTGCAATCTTCACCATTTCTGGTTTTATAACTCCCCATCCAAATCCTGCCAGGAATGGTTTTTCTATAGTGTTATCACTCACATTTTGACTGCCTCAGAAATGTTACGAATTCATCTGCACAGCAACTTCTGTAGTATGGAAATGATTGCTTTCAATTGGGTCTAAATTTGCACAGGTGACTACTAATTTGGGGTGTTCTGTTTGAGACAAATATTCAACTGCAGTACTATGCTTTTCCTTCTGTTTTCTGTAGACTATATAATGACATTATCAGCACGAAATTTTACTGTCTTACTATTTTGTATTTTCTACAAGCGTGAATACTATTTAAGGGCCTTGCAAGGAGCGGTACTTAGAAGAATGTTTCCAGCTTGTTAATCTCATGTATTTAACAGTATATTGTCTTTAATCAGTTTTTGGGTCTCGAAAAGACAAGTGTAACAAAGAAGAATAGAGACGTTAACATTTTTATTTTTATACATTTCAAGTTTTACCATTCAGAATGCACTCTATCAAACATAAAATCTATAAAGCCAACTGATTAAAAGGAGCACTATTCCCTTAAGTAACCAAAAAAAATATTGAAATTCTTGTGGAGTGTTACAAGGAAAACAGAGCATGGAAGTTCACGTTCAATTATGATGTTTTTTGCTGTAATAGCTAAGTAAAAGAAAATAATTCAAATTAATGCTCTTAAACCATGAAGATCATCCATGAATTGTTTGCTTTATTGTCATATTAATTCTAAGAGAAACAATACGTCTCTCCAATCCCAACTTGAATAAAATAGTCTGTTCAGCTGTTAAAAACCAGCGCTCAGCTGCCTTTATCTTTCTTCTTTTCTCTGCTATAAACAATATTTATTCTCCTGTAAAAAAGGATTACAGAGGCAGGTAAAATGGATTACACCATGCTCAGATCAACATTTCCTATTAATTTTATAGCACTAAGGAAAAAAAATAGCATGATGGAAACAGAACCTTCATGAATATGAATGGTGTTTTAAGTAGTAAAGAGAAATGCAGAATACTATCTGAGACATACAAAAAAGAGGCAGAAGAACAAAGCAGAACAGAAAGTCTACTTCTAAGATCTTCAGGAAAATGTGGAAATTTTATGATATCTTATTACTAATCTACTAAATTCTCCTATATTTCTAAGAAGAAAATGAATGTTAAGAGTTATTTTTAATTATTGTACTATATACAGCAACATGTTATTATCTTCAGTTTGTCATGCTGCCTTTACTCATCTCACATTCCTTTCTCCTATTAAATCATCATGTTTATTTTTACTTCTAGACTCTGCGCTGGTCTTGCTTTGCATCATATAGATCTGCGTTCAAGGTAAGAAGGAACTCTTGATCTAAATACCTGGGCTACTTATAATTTCTTGAACAGATTTTTTTAGATTTAAACTCATCACATTTTTCTTATTTCAAAGATGTATTTATAGAAAATGTAGGGAGAATGCTTTCAGATCCGTTTGTCTCAAGGAACACGTACTTGCCTTTTTTTTAATTATCAAGCTCATTAGCTACATCAGTTTGAATATGTTTTCTTAAGTGTAAGTAAAAATTGTTCACTGTAATGTATTAAATGTGCATAATACTGTCCTTACTGATTCAAGATGGTATTTTGAGTATGTGAATTCTAAATTCACGATATTCAACATCTAGATGGACATTTTAAAATATTTTAATTTTTGCCAATTAAAAGTGTTGCAATTTTTTTTCATTGCAGGGCTTAGTGAAAACAAAGGCAACACTTTGAAAAAAGGAATTTAAATGTAGTATTTGGGCCAATGCTAGAAACTGCTGTAGGCTCATTTCTTTTGAAAATGTAGCTACTTCTTTCAGTTTCTGAATATAGAAAGTAGTCTTCCTTTCTTTGTCATTTTCTAATCTAGTTGTAACATTTAATGTGTATTAAGCAAGTTATTTCTTGATCTGGTATGCAGGAAAACATGTTGGGTTTACATAAAAGAAAACACTAGAGGAGGAAGAAGCCCCACCTAACAAAAGTCTCAGAGTTGAAGGAGTTAAAGAGAATTAAAAGAGACAGAGTTAGAGTCAACATTCATGCAATGATTGTTATAGTGTCCATGATTAGAATCACCTTTGTAACGTAAGGCACTGTGAGCAATATTCTGTTTTACTTCACCTGCTAACAATCGAACTGCAAACAGCAGCAGCATCTATGGCTTTAAGCCAAGATGCAAAATCTGTGGATAAGCCAGTGTAATAGAGTCGTATCAGGCATGTCGCTCTAAATCTAGGGACACGTTACTTAACACATTTATGGGATTTATGAGAGAAGGTGAAGGGTCCTTGAGAGTTCCCCAAACCTGCCCCCTCTTAGCACCAGCTTGTGTGTTATTATTAATCATAGTCACCTGGTTGTACAGTCCCACCATTATCAACCTGGGCTGTATGATTCCTGCAAGAACCTTTGTTCCTCCACCAGAAATTCTAGTATCTTTCTGTGTTACAGTTTAGAAAACATACAAGTAAGTGATAAATAAAATAAAGCAACATTGCAGTTAAGTGTCTATTCCAAATAATAAATTTATGGGAATTGGTTACAGCTAAAAAAAGCAGTTGAACAACCAGTCTAAGTACAGTTGATCTTGTTCTGCTTTAAAAGTTTGGTTACCTAGACTTTGGCAGGAGCATCTAAGCTATGTTGTATCAGTGTTACCCTTCAAAAGGTGCCCTGTGCTTATAAGGCAGCACACCTACTCAGATTTTTAGATTTCAAATCCAGATCTCAGATTGCAGCTTAATGAAAATTTTGGAGGTAAGAAGGAGGACAAAATATACCATAATCAGTTCATCTGCATCAGTATTAATGTTTTTGTGATCTCTACTTCAGAGAAACTTCTAGCGTTTCCAGTTTTATAATCAATAAATGCAGCAGAAAATAAAGCCTGTCCAACCTTGTCTAAGGCACATGGCCCAAGAATTTTTTTTTGGTCTAGAGCCCATACGCTCTAAACACTTACACAAGTGCTTAACTTTAACCTAGGAATGGGCCTACTATCTTCAGCTAAAACAAAGTAAATCTCTGCAGAATATGGTCGCTGGTTTAGACAAAATCTAAAAAAAAAAAGCACTGAATGATAACTGAATTTTTCTTTCACAACAACACAAAATACATCTAAGTTTCTGCTGCAAAGGAAGCTAGAACCTGGATTGTGCTATACATCCTGTTAGAAACCGCAGATGCTTAATGAAAGAGAACAGAACATCCCCCAAAGATGAATCAGATGCCAGTATGAGCCAGACAGAGTCTTAAATTCCAGAAGGAAACTTATCATCTCTTACACAAAGATTATACACTAGAATTTGTAAGTAGTTTTAAGTACTCCTATTCCTGAAAGATCACTAGAGTCTATATCAAAATGTGCCACTTGTTTGGAAAACCTCTTTTACTCCTCTTTTACCTATTAGTCTCTCACAGAATAAATACATAAATAAATCTGTTCTTCAAGTGTATGGAAAGAAGCACACCTGAGGCTATTGATGACCATAAAGTCACTCATCTGTAGAAGTACTTGCAAAATTACGTTATTTATTATATATTCCAGAGAACAAATATTGAATACACATATGTTAGTTCAAAATTATGTTGTGTGATGCTTACAATCTTGTTTATTTTATAGGTGGCTGCCCTAAAACGAAGGGAGGGTTTTTGAAAAGTTGTGGAGCTTCACGTTTCTCTGCTTGGTTGACAAAGCCTCTCGTGCGTGGAAGTGGATGTTGTGGAGTCCTTCTAATAACTTGTATTAGCTTCTTTATTGATAGTCAAGTGTTGTGCAAGTTATTTCTGGCAGGCCCTCAGAAAAGCTACTAGGCAGGTTTGGTCTGTTTTCATCTCAAGCTAATTTTGGGAAATGTTTCAAGTGTCTTTCTTTTAGTGTTAACGAATTAAGAGTTTCAGACCCCATCCAAATACTGGTCTGTATCACTACTTATCAAACGATCTCGTAATCTTATAGTGGTGTCATTCTTTGTTTTTATTCCACAAACAGGCAAATCAGATATATATTTAATACTTTTCTTCCTTTGGCACGTAGACTATTTGTGGTTATTTAAGCATACCACGTCTAGAACTAGGAATTTCTGCAGCGGGTTGCAGGGCGGCCCTCTGTGAGGAGCCGCAGGCAGAGGCCAGGACAGAGCTAGGCCGCCCTGAGGGTGATTTGGGGCCAGGGAGGCCTCTGGCCATGGGCACGGGTCTTTTAACCCCGAACCGAGGTACGGGGTGGCATCACAAGTTTAGCGGGCCACGTTTCGGTCTGGCTCTTTCGAGAGAGAGCTGTGAGGAGAGAGCCGGGTGCAGGGTGCAGGGTGCTGCCCTCTACACACGCCACAGCTGGCAGAAGAGGCTGCAGCCCGTGTCCCCGGGGAGGCCCAACGCCTTGTGGAGGCGCCACCCAGGGCAGAGGACAGGCAGCCCGCCC